TTATATTTACAGCTGCAGCATTTCATTTGAGCTTCCCAAATATGTTATAAAATACTGGGCAGATATTTTGCCCAAATGAAGAAACAGAGGCTCCGAAAAACTCTGGCTCTATGATCTTGAGTGATTTTAATCTGAGATTAAAACCCAAGACTTTCTGTGACAATTCAGAGTCCTCTTCACAGTCCTATTCGACCATTCAGAGACCTGTGTGCTACATGGAAAAAGAATAAACAGTACTGCTTTAAATACAGTTGAGATTAGAACCTGACCAAATAATGTTGTTTAAAAATAAGAAAAAAGGGCCAGGGATTTAGCTCAATGGTTCCAGCGCCTGCCTCACAGGCACAAGGTCCCGAGTTCGATCCCCAGTACCCTCCAAAAAAAAGAAAAAAAAAAAAAAAAACAAGTTTGGGCTGGTATTTAGCTCAGTGGCACCATGCCTGCCTTGCAAGCACAAAGTCCCAAGCTCAATCCCCAATACCGAAAAAAACCAAACAAACCCAAAAAACAATTTTAAAAGTTTAATTAGAACTAAACAATTTCAACCTGTTTTTATTTTATTTTTTGGTACCGGGGATCGAACTCAAGACCTTGCGCTTGTGAGGCAGGCACAGTGCCACTGAGCTACATCCCCAGCCCTCAACCTGTTTTTAAATTAAAAATCCTGATACAATTTAAGTGACAGTATGCCCACCAGTATGAAACCTGTCAAGAATTATCTACCTAGTTTTTGTTTAAAATAATGTGAAGACTTAACTGTTCAGAGATTGAGTACCCACAAACAAGATATAAACCATTTTCAGGGGAAAACATGCATGCATTTATTTTTAAGAATTCCCAATAAGGGGGGAAAATTCAACATCTTTAAAAATGTGTTTATTTTGTTAAAAAATCAGTTGTGTACAAAAAGTGTTTCGTAGTTTTTAATTCTCAAGACAAATACCCAACCCTCCACCCACAGCCCACCCTGCTTCAATGGTATTTCTGGTAACCCACCCATTTTCCCCTTACAGGAAGTTAATGGCTCAGAATAGACCCTCCTACAGAATTTATCATCACTAACAGACTGTTTAGAGTAGAGATCTAAGAAGCTAACAAGCAAGGTTCTTTCTCAGTGAGGTTAATGAGAATCCCTATAATGGCAGTTGACTTCCAGCAGACACCACAACAGAGCACCATCAATTGCTGAAAGCTAAAAAATAGATTATTATTTTCAATAGTATTTCATTTTCTATTGGAAAATTCTTTAAATAACATTAAATAAGTCTCTTTTCCCCCAAAGACATAGTCTAGCTTTTATTATGATGCCTGTAAAAAGTAGGTTACAGCAAGCAGATAAGGGTCGTTCACAGCACAGTGCGTTGACTTCTATCCACTCACGCTCAGACCAAACCAGTAAGCTATGCCACACCTGATTATAGATAGCAGCATGGTTGAAATAACCAAGCAAAAGGTGGCATATTCACAACTTACATTTGTAGGCGATGATGCAGGTTTATGAGACTAGATCAGACCAATAAAGCAGTAACAAAGAAGGACAAAGGAGATAGTAACACTCCCTTACCCCTATGCCATAAGATTTTTTATCTATATTGCAAATACAATGTGTGACATCATTTGTAGACCCTAAAGAAAGTCACACTTTGTTTGGAAAAAGGCTATTCATCAGTATACTTCAAGTTGCTGTCTTCACAATGTAGCAACCAGCTAATAGTTTCAATTGGTACTAAAGAATAGAAATGCATTGCTTCTAGGCCTTTTGGCTAAGATCAAGTGAAGAACAGAAATGTAACTTTTTTGAATCAAATGGTTTGTACCCTAGAACTGAAATTCCTTGGAACTAGACAAAGTGATTAATACAACATCAGTTTGTAAAAGTCCATGAAATAAAGTTAATTGTAAACAAACAATTTCCTTTTTCATTTCTACACGTTTTTTTCCTATGTACAAGAATGGTACACTTGGCTGCAGCTATTTTCTGCCAGATTCATCTTAAATCTTTAAACCACAACAAAACTTCTTTATTTCCTGTTTCTACATAGAATTAAGAAAACATTACCATACCTCTACCTCAGTGTTTTAAAAGCTCAAATCAGGCATACACTTATAGTCCAGATCTGCTTTTCACATTGGCAAATTTATGAAGCAGCCTAAAGAGTAATATAATATGCTGCATTCAGTAGTACATACACAAGCAAACTCTAATTGCCAATTCTTTCCTACAGATACTTAAAAAAAGAATTATTTTGCATAGTTTTAAGTGCCATTAACAATCATAAATGAGAAAAACTTTGAAAAAGACCAAAAGAACTCAATCTTATTTTCACCTCATAGCTTATTTTTCTCAGAAACAAAAGACTCAGATTCCGAACATTTATATATCCTTGGAGGTGTTTTCTGTATTTACATAAACCATAGTCACAATTCTAAACATTTCAGAGCCAACTCAGAGCATCAAATTTAGTAGCAAGTTCCTCAAATATGCATGTTTGAGTTTCAAACTGCTATTCATTCATTCAGTCACTCACTGGTACTGACAGACTGTACAACTAATTGTTTCTTTTAAGTTAGGCACATACTCAGGAAACAGATCTGATTATAATAAAAGCCTATTAAAGTATCAGTGATTTTTAGCAAATCTGCCTGCTCTAAATGGAATTTAATGTTTTTAATCATAATTTCTGAGGGCTCTTAAATTCTAAAACACCACGAATTATAGGGCCAGGGATGCAGCTCAGTGGCACCACACCTGCCTAGTAAACGCAAGGTCCTGAGTGCAATCCCCAATACAAAAAAAAAAAAAAAAAAAAAAAAAAAAATAGAAATAACTTTCACCAGGGTACTTTCTCCCTAGGCCTGAACTTTCAGTGTCCTTTTCCCAAACACATATGACACCAGAAGAAAAAAGTAATTGTCTTAGTTTCTATGTTTGGGGAGGTAAATCTGTATCGAGAGAGGGAAGGAAAAAAAACCAAACAATAGGAGAGCAGAAAATGTACCAGAAAGAAAAAGTATCATGTTAAAGGGAAATAAATTTTTATAATGAAAAATTCATTATGCAGAACCTATCAAACTAAATATTGTACTTTCCAATTACCTGGGCACTGGAGCTGAAGTGCAATCAAATGAGTAGATACCTGGCCAAGATATGGGGCAGTGTGCATAAAAATCAAAGCTGGATAGAGCTGCCTCCAAGAGTGGAGTATGTAATGCTTGCCACTAGTAACCACTGAGTTCTTTTTCTCTTTTGTCCAACCACAGACAAATAAATATACCCTGATAATATAGGCAAATAGTAAACTCGATGTGATTGATATTTTCAAAAATCCAAGTATTACTAATATTACCAAGCCACCCTCTAGTATAAAAAATGAATTCTAACCAACAATGGAGCAAAACTCACAAAATCCCACCATACCTCAAAATAAAAAGTACAAGATTTTAGCTATTTAAAATAAATAAAGAAAAATCTTGTTTCCTTTGGCATCCTTAGAAAATAACTAAACTACAACAATTAAAGGCTGTGATTATGCTTAAGCAAACATGGGGGAAAAAACATAGCAACTTGTGTTTAGTATGCAATATATCAACTATAAGAGATTACTTTTATGTAGGAAAGCCTTACAAGTTTTTGGAAGAACCTTCATATCTTTAACATTATGATATATTTAATATTTGTTCTTTATTGCTTCTAGTATCAAGATTACTGATAAGTTGAATGAAGTTATATTGACTTAATAGGTTCAAAAATTATTTTCCAAACAATTATTTAAGATAAATAACACCTGAAGAAAGAAAATTTTTTATAATATGACTTTCAATATAAAACCTTACTTTAGTCTGATTCCATTTTTGTTATTTTTGCATTTACCTCAAAATTTAGTAAGAATTATATTTATATGTATAGAACTGCCTGCATAAATCTACTTCAACCTTCATAAAATGGTCAAATTAAGTGTTTGAGCTTGCAAAACTAGTAACTTTCAAACTTCTGAACTTAGAACGAAATGTAACTTTAATATGAATAAAAGTCTATGTACAAGAGAAGATAACATTTTCAATTCTCATTATCAGAAACATCATAAAGAAAGCTAGATTTATAACACACCTCTATTCCTATGTGCATCTGAAGCACGTACAGTAAAACACCAACACAGCTTTCATGTGTCAGTATGGGGAAGTGCAAGCAAGAGTGGCTTTTAAAGTATCTGATAAAGCAATTTTCATAAAGCCCAAAATTAGGCTAAAAACTACTGGAAACAGCTGACTACATTCCTCAACATTTTCAAAGAAAATACTATCAAATTAAAAATCCATGTCAAATTCACTGCAAAACTAAAGCCGGGCCCTTTCATTTCACGTGGGAATACTGCAACATCAAAGTATTTACTGTTTTTGCAAGAGAAATAATATTGACAGCTCCATTCTTACATTACTTACTTCCACTGGAAAACTTTGAGTGTTTAAAGAATTATGACAAAACATTCCAAACCCTAGATCTAAAAAGGGAGTCGGGATACTTTGCTTGGCACATTTCCCCACCAAATACAGAGAAATCTACCATTAAATGATTAACTGTGTGTGGTATGAGAAAAGAAGATACAGTGCCCCAACCTCTCAACTGGGACAAAAAGGCTCTGAATAGGTCACTATCTTCATTTCTGGATAAATCTCTTATTTATGAATGTTCTAGTACTGAAAATGGTGGTCTTTTCAGCTACCCATCCTAAGAAGTCAAGTACAAGCATGCAAGTAAATTCACAGACACAGAGGATCCATGCTAAAAACAATTAAGGTAGCTGTGATGCAACACCAACAACTTGAATGGCCCTGACACACTCAAAATATTATCTTAATTATTCAACAAAATCCTGAAGCAAACTCTTGCTAGTCTTGTTACACCGCTAAACACTAAAGTAGTATGTTTTTTCCATGGTTTTAGCTTAGCTCGAAGAATTTTTTACACTATTAAGTAAGAAAAAAATTAAAAGTATTTCCCCTTTTAAATTTACACAGATGTTTAATTAGCTTTATTTACAGAGCAGGGATTTTTTTTTTCAGTCTCCAATGGTTGCCTAGATAACACCATTAGGCAAGAATGCCAGTTTAAAAGAAATCTATGCAGAATCCTAAAAATAACAGATGTTGATGCTCCTGGAGAAGAGGCAAGCTTGACTATCAGCAGCTCTTTCTAGGCCTCAGTTACTCAGAAGCAATTCTGTTGCAGTCTCTACATCCCATGATTTTGAAGACAAGGCCACTATTACTGCATTCTGCAGAAAGAAAAAGGGAACAACAAAAAAAATCAAATCTCAAGGGAACATTTTTAAAATACTGCATCACTATCTTTATATTGCAAAATCATACTTTCTTTTCTATACATTGCCTTATACTTGCACTGCATAAAAAGCTTCCAATACCAACTAGAACAAAAAGAAAAAAAATTTCTACTGACTGTAATAACGAAACTTATTTACACAACAAGATTTTCTAATATTTGTTAAAACACTTTTCCCAGCCAGGGATTTGCAGCAGTAATTTAAAAAATCAACACACATTTAAAAAAAAAAAAAAAAAATCAACACACACACACATTAAAATAAACAATCTGTTAAGTACTTACCCTATCAAAGCCCATAGCACATAGGTTTTCTATTTTTTTGGTGTATTCTGGACTAGAAACTGGTGCTCCAGCATACACGTGTGCCCAAAGTCGAGCTGTCTGTTTGAACATTTCAGGATTTTGTTTGTACTATATAGGGAGGGAAAAAAAATCAATTGACGTAATTTTTTTTCTTGCTACTGAGGATTGAACTTGGGATCTTGTGCTTGCGAGGCAGGCAGCGGAACCACTGAGTTAAATCCCTGGCCCAACATGATAATATTTTGTAATATTCAATATAGTAGCTCAACTCTTTTTTTTTTTTTGGTACCGGGGATCGTACTCAGGTCCTTGCGCTTGCAAGGCAGGTGCCAGAACCACTGCGCTAAATCCCCGGCCCAGCAGCTCAACTCTTAATTGGCTAAGACCCTGCTTTTTCTAAATGAAAGGAATTTATATTCAAAATGTGATGCCCTAGGGTGGAGGGTATATACAGTTCAGTGGTAGATTATGTGCTTATTAGCAAGCACAAGGCTGTCAGTTCAATCCCTAGGACTAGTAACTGCCCAAAGGTAAATTAAAATGTGATTGACTTTCCACTGCAAACAAGCTGTGTCATTTGTCATTCAGGAAAAAATTGGTTAGGCCCGGGAATTTAGCTCAGTGGTACCACATCTGCCTCACAACCGCAAGGTCCTGAGTTTGATCCCCGGTACCAGAAAAGAAAAGACAAGACTGGTTAATGTGAAGCTCTGATTCACAAACTGTACTGATAAAACAAAAATACAGACAAAGTTAATCTAGCCAGGGTTGATGTCACATTCTTGTAACCCCAGAACTCTGGGCGGCTAAGGTGGCAGGACTGCAACTATGAGACTAATCTAGACGATTCAGCAAGACTGTATCTTTTTTTTTTTTTTGGTACCGGGGATTGGGGATCGAACTCGGGTCCTTGCGCTTGCACAGCAGGCGGTGAAACCACTGAGCTAAATCCCCAGCCCAGACTGCATCTTATTTACAAACAAAAAAAAGGCCAGGTATGTAGCAGCTCAGTGCCAAGGCCTTGGTTCAATCCCCAGTAGCACCTTCATCCCAAAAGTTTGTCTACTCTAACCTGCAAATTCAACAAATACAATTAGGAAAAAACTAATATTAAGTGTGGTGAGATACTAGAGATATTCCCAACACTGCACAGCAGCAAACACTACCGAACTAAACACAGAATTATTATAAAATTATATAATATTAGCTAAGCAATATGACCAATTTGGGCACTACCCACAGTCCAGACTAAGAGTATAACTAGCTTTTGCTGTTTTCCTACAACTGTGTTAGTTTAGGGAAAATGAGGCAAAATCCTAACTTATACCATGTTTTGAGATGATATTGTAAGAGTACTTTCAAAAGGGCCGGGGATTTAGCTCAGAGGTTCCACTGCCTGCCTCGCAAGCACAAGGTCTTGAGTTCGATTTCCAATACCAAAAAAAAAAAGGACTTTCAAAAGGCAAAATTTCACATATGTGTTGGAAAACACTCTGGGATAACCATGAACTTAGTAAGACAATGTATAAATTAACAGTTTTTGTTCAATTCATTTTAATATTTCTTTTCAAAGTATAAACATTTTAAGACTGACAAGCTTCTAGGACATATTACAACATCAAATCTTATCACTATCATTAATTAATCAAAAGGAAACAAGTAGAATTATTGAACTACTTTAGGTACTAAAAGAAATCTTTAAGGTGAAGCTCAACCAATGATGAAATCAAGCCATCCTTCTGACTACCCAGTATGAATGAGTAGCTTTAAATATAAAACATAAAAGCAATTCCAACCACTCTGGGCAAATTCATAGCACACATTATCAAGGAGACATACACATGGGTAAAGAAGGGCCAAAACTTCCAATAGGTAACAAATAAATTAAAAGTACAGAGAAATTTGCTAAGAGAAAGTTTCCATACCGAAGATGCATGGCAGACAGAATGAAGTAATAAAACTAAATGCAATCTTGAAAAAGGTGAGTTTTAAGTATAATTCTGCCAGGTGTGGTGGTGCACACCTGTAATTCCACCATTCTGGTAAACTAAACACCAAAAGGTCTGGAATGTAGCTCAGTATGAAGGCACTGGGTTCAGTCTGCAGTATCGTGTGAAGAAGAAGAAAAAAAAAAAAAGTAGGATGTGAACCTTTAAGATATGAAACTGGACATCAGTATTAATTTTGAGTTGGCAGAGGTAACCTAACCAACTACCTTTATGTTTGGTACTAAGAGATATACCTTTCAATAAAATTACTGAAGTGAAAAAAAAAAAAAAAAAATATGAAACTGGGCCCAGGGATGTAGCTCAGTGGCACCACACCTGCCCAGCAAATGCAAGGTCCTGAGTTTGATCCCCTGTACCAAAAAAAAAGATATGATATGGTTTGTACACATTCAAATCAGAGAGGGAGAAGAGAGAGGGACACAGATGGACACAGGAAAGAGAGGAAAACTCCAAAAGCTGTGATTCTGTTACAAAACTAAACTAGTAATGGTATCATACAACAATAAAACATCTTCACGGTTTAAGATTCCACATTCACTTTCAGCAATTTTGTGTTGAAGTATCACAGGAGCACTCACACAGAACCCTACAGTTTCCAACATGCTCTTGTGTTCAAAAGTCAGACCTATATATTTTATTAATGTACAGGTCATAATATCTGTGTAGATATGATCAACCGAGTGTATACAATGGAAGGTAAAGAAACAATTATCAATTAACTACAGTTAAAGGAAAAAAGAAAAAAAATTGTAGTAACTAAGAAGGAACAACTCTGAAGAGAAGAGAATCTTAGAAGTCAAGAGAAAGTCAGGTGTGGTGGCGAATGCCTATAATTCCAGCACTCTGGGAGGCTGAGGCAGGAGGATGGCAAATTCATGCCCAGCATGGGCAACTTAGCAAGACCCTGTTTCATAAAAATTTTTGCTTTGTTTAGTTTTGTTGTGCTTCTTGAGACAGCTCAGTAATTCAGGCTGGCCTTGAACTCACAGCAATCCTCATGCCTTAGCCTCAGTAAAACACAATGAATCTTAAGTAAGACACAATGGCTTAGCAAACAGGTTGGCAGAATACTTCTTAAGGGGACAGATATTAGTGATTTAAATCTTTCAAACAATGTTGTCACTACTGCTGGAAAGCAAACAAGTGGGAATGGCACTGTTCCAATTACATTATTTACAAAACAAGCCAGTCAGGCTGTAATGTGTTAATTTTTTCCCTTAGACTGATTAAGGATCAAAAGTGAAAAATATTTATTTTGTTGAGCCAATCAGAAAGTTACCTTTAGGCCCAGGGATTTAGCTCAGTGGCACTACACCTGCCTCGAAAGCACAAGGTCCTGAGTTAGATCCCTGGTACCAAAAAAAGTTACCTTTAATGCTGCTCTCCCACTTCAGTACCACAGTGGGAAGTGATTAAAAATTATCACAAGAGATTAGGGGTGAGTTTGGGGATAGATGTATACACACATGATAAAGTGTGTGCTGCAGAATGCTAATCACAGCATCTTTTTGTTTTTTTTTCTGCCAGAGATCCAACTCTGGACCTTGTGCTTGCTAGGCAGGCATGGCACCAGTGAGCTACATAGCCCGGCCCTAATCACAGGATCTTGACAGGAGGTATATGAGTGTACATTCTTTTTTCTTTTTTTTGGTACCGAATATCAAACTCGGGACCTTTCACTTGTGAGGCAGGCGGCAGAACCATTGAGTTAAATCCCCGGACCTTTGGTGTACATTCTTTTGACAGTCACTCTTTTGACTCTGTGCATTTGGAAAGACATATTCATACATTATGAATTCAATTAAACTACTATGTTAAAATCCAAAGCTTAAGTTTTCATTATCACATCTGACAAAATAATATTACTGCAAGGAAGAAAGCCACTTCCAAATTTAATGTGAGAAGAGTTAATATAGTAAACCACTAAACAGAGACATACATAGGTATGAAGAACTCATTCAAAAGCAGTCATCTTACCTGATTTGCTACTACTGCATCCTGTGGATCATCCGGCTCTGCAGCTGCCAATAGTGCTTGCAATGACAATAATACTGTGCGAAGAGTCATTGCTGCAGCCCTAAATTTTAAAATAGGAAAATATCCCACTTAAAAGGGTTCTGAATGGCAAAACCAAAGAGGATGTTTTCTGAATAAAACAAGAACCTACTAGAGGGAAGGGGAAATGGGAGGGGTGGGGGGAAAGAAGGAAAAGGAATAAATATGAGAAAAGGAAAAAACAAAGTCTTTGTAAATAGGAAGGGATGGAGGGGTTGAAGGGAGGGCAGAGGAATGGGGGTAAAAATAAGAACCAAGATATATGATGTAAAGGTACAAACTCCCAATGATGAATGCCATCATATTGTATACCTAAAATGTACCAATAAACTTAATAAAAGAAAAAACCTACTAGAACTTTCTTTTTTGTTCTCTACACTATGCCCCACCCCCCTTACTAGGGATTAAATCCCGGGCATTGCATATACTAGGCAAGTACCATAACAATGAGCTGCATCCTCAGTCCATAAAATGAAACTTTTCCTTCTTTCTCTTTTTTTTGAAACTGAGTCTCATTACATAGTTCAGGCTGCCCTCAAGCTATGGCAACCCTCCTGCCCCAGCCTCTCAGAATGTTGGTATTACGGGCATGTGTCACCACAACCGGCTTTTCTTCTATCTGGAGCCTGCAAGTAATTTTTGCCTCCAAGTCAGATATATAATGATATAATGATGTAAACCCAGCTTATTCAAACTAGCTTTCTCTTTTTGTCCTTTAGATTTTACTATTTGAATTCTTTCTTTCTCTCTCTCTTTCTGGTTCTGGAGACTGAAACTATGGCTTTTGCACTAAGCTTTATCCCCAACCCTTTTGAACATTTTCAGACAAGTTTCAATAATTTATTAGCCCAGGCTGAGCTCATATTTGAGATTCTCCAAACCTTAGCCTCCGAAAGTGCTGGAACTATAGGCATGTGTCACCATGCCCAGCTCACTGACTTATTTTTTATCCGTTTCTCTAGATATAAAGTTAAACTCTTAGTACTAATAGCTTGCAAAACTTTCTTCTGATGGCAATGTAAAGACTTTTAAGAACACTATGAAACAGGCCAGGGATTTAGCTCAGTGGTGCTGCCGCCTGCCTCACAAGTGCAAGGTCCCGAGTTCGATCCTGGGTACCAAAAAACCCAAAATAAACAAAAACCAAAAAAACTATCAAACAAATGTGCTTTACTTTTAAGAATAGTTTGCAATCATTCCGTAACACTCTGAAATAGGATAAGCTTTCTGCTTAAATAATTTAAAACCAGAAGTGGTGGTGTACACCTGTAATCCCAACACTCTGGGAAACTGGGGCAGGAGGATCTCAAATTTGAGCCCAGCCTGGGCAACTTTATGAGACCCTGTTTCAAAAAATTAAAGTAAAAAATAAATCATCCTTCTAAATGTATTTATAAATATGTATCTTTACAAAGGAAATAGTTATATAAAGTGGTTTCTACTTATCTAGGAAGGATTCTTTGCATTTGTCTTAAAAATTTGTTTCACTAATTAATACTGAAATATTTGTAAGGTGTTTCAAGTGATTATGAGGTACACTGATGGTAAAGTTTAAGTAACGAAGGATATTCTATATCAAAGTAAAATCAATATTGCATTCTCAGTATTGATATATTTTTTGATATATATTCTCAGTATAGATATATTCTCAGTATATCGACATTTTTGTGTATTAGGAAAAAATTCCAGTATAAAAGTTCTTTAAAATGTCCTTAGAGTAAAAAAAATTTATCAATTTTTCCTTTAAAGAGCTACAGGACTTGGGGGAAAAACTGCTGAGGCTCAAAAATTTGGTGAAATGCTGTTAGCACTTAAAAGTAGTATTTGTGAAGGACTTTCACACAGTTATGCAGTTTTATGTAATTGATTGCCTAATTCTGAAACGAGTGAGAAATGAGAAATACTTTTTCTAGACCAAGGTGCTACATTTTCTCAAACATTATACAAGTAATTTTCTTTTGGTCCCAGGGATTGAACTCAGGACTTTTCGCTTGCCAGGCAGGTGTGGCACCACTAAGCTACATCCCTGGCCACAAGTAATTTCCAATGAGGAGGTGTGACATAGTTAATATGGGTCATTTTCTTTTAGGACTAGGTCACAATGTAAGTCAAATTCAATTCTTACTCTTATTTTTGGAGACAGGGTATCACTTTGTAATTCAGGTGGGCCTTAATCTCACTACAGCGGGCCTCAAGCTTGTAGAGATCCTCCTGCCTCGGCTGCCTGAGTTCTAGGACTATGGGTGTACACTATCATGTCTGGCTCTGTTTTCTTTCTTTTTTTGATACCGGGGATCAAACTCATGACCTTGCGCTTGCCAGACAGGTGCTATGCCGCTGAGCTAAATCCCTGGCCCTTTGTCTTTTTTTGCAGACAGGGTCTCACTATGTAGTTCAGGCTGGTTCCTTGGACTGTAGCTATAGCCCAAGCTTGTCTAATTCATGGTGACACTTCTGCCTCAGCCTCCAGAGTCCTGGGATTACAGGCATGAACTCTACCATGCCCAGCTTGCTCTGTTTTTTTGAGACAAGTTCTTGCAAAGCAGTTCAGATTGGCCTGGGACATGCTATATAGAGCCAGGCTTACCTTAAACTCCTGAGCTTCTTGGTTCAGCCTCCTGAGTGCTGGAATTACATGTATGCACCACCATCCCTGGTTTGAATTCTTCAAAATGCTTTCTTTATGAACAATATTTTTTTTAGGAGGGGGTGTGAACTCAGGGCCTATGCACTGAACTACTTATTCACCTTGTTTTTTATTTCTTTATAATTTTTTTTGAGACAAGGTCTTGCAATGTAGCTCAGGTTGGCCTCAAATTTGCAGCAATTTTCCTGCCTGAGCCTCCCAAGTGCTGAGATTATAGGCATGGCTCACTACACCTGGTCCCTTCTTCTTTTTTTCTTTTTCTTTTTTTTTTTTTGGTACCGAGGATCGAACTCGGGACCTTGCGCTTGCAAGGCAGGCGCCAGAACCACTGAGCTAAATCCCTGGCCCTTTTTTTCATTTTTTGGAGACAGAGTCTCACTATATAGTTCAGGCTGGACTTGAACTCACTATGTAGCCCAGGTTGGCCTCGAACTCAGAGCAATCCTTGTGCCTCAGCCTCCCGAGTGCTGGGATTACAGGTGTGTGCCACTGCACCTGGTCCACTTTTTAAATTTTTGAGGTAAGATCTCATTATATGGCAAAGCTGCCAAGGCTAGACTCAAACTTATGATACTGCTGCCTCAGCCTCCTAAAGGCCTGAGATTACAGACATGCACCACCATGCCCAGTTCATTACTCTATGATATATCTGGCCAATTTCAAAGAGGATGTTTAGACATATGACATCAAAAATTGTCCAATTATATCAGCAAAAGTGACTTATATTGACAAAATATCACAGAAATGGAATATTTAACTTAATCTGGCTTAGTACCCCAATGGAGCCCCACCCTCCACCCCCGTGCTGGAGATAAATCTTGGGGCCTTGCACCTGCTAGGCCAACTACTCTACAACTAAGCCCCATATCTAGACCATCCAGACATTGGGGAGGGGGAACTGAGACAGGGTCTTGCTATGTAGTTCAAGACAGCCTTAAATTCACTAGTAGCACCAGTCTGGCCTTGAACTCTTGGAAATCCTCCTGCGTCAGCCTCCTGCATGCTGGGATTACAAGCATACCACTGTGCCTGGTTAGACCATCCAGACTTTAAAAGCAGCCTAATTTAAAAATCTATGGCATTAAACAAAATCTTAAGTTATAGAACTTTAAAAATAAATTATTGCTTTAAATAATACAATTTCTTTCTTGGGGGTGGTGATTTAGTTCAGTGGTACCACACCTGTCTCACACAAGTGCAAGGTCCTGAGTTCAATCCTGGGTACATTAAAAAAAAATTATTTCAATGAAATGTACGTGAAGAGTGAATAAAAACCTCACTAAAATTATTACGCACACTCAAGTTATTTTACATTAAAATAAAACTACAAACGGGTGTAAAATATTTTTATTTTGAAGTCTTGATCACTAATATTACATAGCCTTACATAACTCAACAAAGCAACAAACACTTAAAAAAAAACCAATCTCGAAAAAGAATGAAGTTGGAGCATTTACACTGTACAAAAAAATTAATTCAAAATGGAGCAAAGAAGTATGAGCTAAAACTAGAAAACACAGGTGGCAAGTTTCAAGAGACCAGATGTGGCAATGATTCTTGGTTATATAAAAAGTACAAGAAACAAATGAGGGAAAATGGACTACCACTATACCAAAATTAAATCAACAGTTAAAATACAATCTATGTAATGGGAAGAAAATATTTGCAAATCATATATTTGACAAAGGACTAGTACCCAGAATATTAAGAAATCATACAAGTCAAAAATAAAACAAAAACCCTGATTTTATTTTATTTTTATTAATTTTTTTGGTACCAGGGATAGAACTCGGGACCTTGTGCTTTTGAGGCAGGCGGCAGAACCACTGAGCTAAATCCCCAGCCTATAAGCTGATTTTAAAATGGACAGGGTGGGAGTAGTGTGTAACTCAGTGTACAATGCTTGCTTAAAATGAGTAAAGCCTTGGGCCGATTCCTGGTATGGGGACAGGGAGGCCTGCATACACATTTCTCCAAAGAATTCTTTTTTTTTTTTTTGGTACCGGGGATCGAACTAAGGTCCCTGCGCTTCCGCAGCAGGTGGTGAAACAACTAAGATAAATCCCTGGCTCCATCTCCAAAGAATTCTTAATGATTGGCAGGCACATGAAAACATATTCACCACCACATTAGAGAAATACAAAGCAAAAGCACAGTGAGATATTGCCTTGTATCTATTAGGATAGCTCTACTATTTTAAAAGCAAAAAGAAACAAAAAAACCTAGAAAATGGTGTTCACCTAGGATGTCCAGAAAGTGGAACCTCTGTAAATTGTATACAGGAATGTAAAATGAGACAAACACTATAGAAAGAGTATGACAGCTCCTCACAAAATTAAGCATAGCAGGCCAGGGATTTAGCTCAGTGGTTCCAC